CCTTTTTTTAATTAAGTAAAGACCTTGAATCCTTTGGTCCCAAGGTCAGGGTGTAAACTATGTATTCTACCATAATAAAAATCAATTAGCTCACCAATTTCATGTTTTTCAAGAGCTTCCATGTGATGCTCCTGATCTCTTCTAGCAAGGATACCTCCATGAATGCCTGGATGCAAAGTTTTTACACGGCCATCAAGCTGTGACAAGGAGAAAATTTCTCAGTTATGTTTTTGAAGTTAAACGTCATGAGTCACTGCTCTCATGTTATAAAATCAACTACAAGGATGTGTAAGCACAACACTTATTGGATCAAACATTAAGAGAAAAGTTTGAATACAATATACTACGAACCATACAAAGAAGGGGTGGGCATTCGGCTCAAACTTTCGGTTTTCAGTTATTTATTAGTGTATACGGAAAATCAAACCGAATTAATTTAATTTGGTTCGAGTTTTTCCCAGTTCTGTTCTTTGGTGTGAACCCAATTAATGGCCTATTTTTTCTGCTTGCAAAATGGTTTTTTTTAAAGTTCAAAATGGCTATTTTGTGTTTTATGAGACAAATACCTGCCTCAATCTTATCTTATGAACTTGCGCGTCAAAAAAATTGCTTGACACATAATAATTAGCTTGGTGAATTTCACCAAAACAATCATGATTTAATCTGAGCTAAAATTTTGAAAAAGATATAATTTCTAATATATTCCCTTATTAGATTACATTACTATAGAAACAGACATAATACTTAAAAATTTAATACCGTTTCATAGTTAGATTATATCCTCATTAGAATATGGTTACAACAACTGAATGAAAGGCAAAACTTCCAACCGTAAAGAAATGGCTAAAGAAATAACGTACGCCACAAAAACATACCCTGCAGAGCTATTAAACCATTCACAGAATTTCAGTTAACTGAAGAACCGGGATCCTATAACCAAGAACCAAATAGAATCTGAAGTTTTGAATAAATTAAAACTGGAGCCAATGAACCTAATTAAATCGGTCCGATCCGATTTTTTGGTTCTCTGGTATTCATGCCCCCCCCTCAATACAAAGATGTGCACGAAATATGAAATTGCAAAGGAAATAAAGGTACATTATATGTAAAAACAAAGTTATGTAGCTAAAAAGAAGTCAACCATCATAGCGAAGACAAATGAAATTAAAGCGGTTAAAAAACAGTGTTAAGAAGAGTAGATGCAAGGTCTGTATCCAAAAAAAAAAAAAAGTGAAGATGCAAGGATTGGCATTTTGAGGTAGGTGTTCCATAAAATTTTTATTTTATTGAGAATAGAATTATTTTTTATAACCCTGGTGTCTGGAGCAGCCTGTGCACACCTCGACTAATTCCACAGGGTACCTGCTACCTCCCACCGGCACAGATACCAGGTAGCACCATCCACCAAAGCTTGGATAGATGGGAGTATTTAGGGATTGCCTTACCCCCGGGCAAGTTCCAGTTATACCTTTCAAACATTAGTCAGGAGTTCCTACCATTTCAGGGAAACGAGTCAGCTCTTCCACTTTGGTGACAGACACACCAGCACCTTCCAAAGCAGATGCAGTGCCTCCCGTTGAAACAATTGTGTACCTGCAAAATAGATTAAATAAGAGATCTTTGCAATTTGAGAATTATCCAGTGGGATGTAAATAAGTTGTATGATTTTGGCCAGTAAATATAGGTAGCAACTAGACACTTCGATTTGCAAGATAATGGGTACAGTCTCATTAAAAGGAGCACACGCAAAGACATAGGGGACACCAGCACCAATCAGATTAAGCCTAGATGATAACATAACCGAGTGACTCTCAATGCAGATTAGGATTATGCCCTTTCATGTGATGCTTAACAGTGTTTCTTTCTTTAGGAAAGTAACTGCAAGTAAAGTTCGGCAGTCATGTACATATATTTAAGATTCACTTCAGTAACAAACTAACAGCTCTAGGCCAAGCAATTTGACTTGTAGATGCTGCAACCATCCTTCAATTATTTTTGTAAAATATGAAAAAATGTTTTCGTAATCTTTACCCCAACTCCTGCAGCCCATTGCCAAGCTTAGCCAAGTCTGTCTTATCTGAAAGTGATATCAATGCTTGCTTCCTCCCTAACATAACCATATACGTGAATAGTAAGTTCACATGAGCGTATAGTGATTGAATACATTCCAAATTTTAAATTGATAAGAATTATTAAACACTGCCTAACTTCTAAAACACAAGGTTGCTGTCATGAATGTCAATTTTGTCAGTAGCATTCCAAAACAGAATTTAACTAATTAAAAGGGATTAACTTAAATTTACTCCAAAAATAATTTTTTAAAAAAGGGACCTGAAGTTGACAGCTTGGGAGAAGACTGAGGAGTAGCTACAGTTTCAGCCATAGCTTTCACTGGATGAACAATCAACCTATACGACGTCTTCGAGAACTGGACCACGCAGACCACAAAAATTATTATCACATAGAAGAAGAACTATTAGGAGTAGTTTTATTTTTCTCAATTTTTCATTACCTGTTGTGGGCCGAAACAATGATCAGTTCTTGTTCGGATGGTGTGGAGCTGCGGAATTTGAGTGCGGAAAGCTTTGGCGGCAATGGCGGTGGCCGGCGTGGTGGCGGCGGAAGAGGCCGATAACATTGTTTTTGTTCACTTTTTTGGGGGGTTTTAAAAAAAGACTATCTGGGTTTTAATTTGGATTTTTGGATGAAGAGGAGAAGAGAGTGGCAACACTTACCTATAGCCTTTGTACTTTGCCCATTAGCCCTAGAAATTAATTATTTTTTTATGAGGTGATGACTAAAAATATATTTTGATATTTTTTTATTTTTTTTTTAAGTTTTACGTTTCAACTATCAAAATATATATATATATATATATATATATATATATATTTTTATTTTTTTTTATTTTTTTTATTATTAGTATTACTATTAATCCTTTATCTTGTATTTAATTAGTATATATGATGATTTAATTTTGTTCATATGACAATTGATTTATTAATTTTTACACGTATTTTTGATAAATATTTTCTCCGTTATATTTTATACGTCATCTCTTTTTATAAATAGTTGAACTATAATATTTGTCATCTTATAAAATTTATGCATAAATTATCATATTTTGCCTATTATATTCTTGATAGAATAGTTAATTAATCTTGAAATTTATTCGTCATTAATTATAAAGTTGACTTAATAAAACATTAAATAAAGTTAAAGTTGGATCATTTCTTAATGCATATGCAATGTAAATAGGTGACATATAAAATAGGACGGAGAATGATGTTTCAGATAAAAATTCATAAAAAAAATAATTACCTTTGTTTTTGAATTTTAATCATTTAAAAATTCATTTAATTTCTTTAATTGTATCGCGTATTCGTAGAAATGTATTTTAGCCCTTTTATATTTGTCTTAAGAATGAATCAATTAACACGATATATTTCGAAGAAGGTGATGAATATTATCTAAGATAATATGTACTTATTGATAATGTGAAGTTAACTATATATATTAGAATTTTGAAGATAAACTATACAATTCAAAAGTTTCCGATTGAGTAGGATTAAAAGACCATGTATGTATGAAAGTTCAATAATATTATCACATAGACAAATGTAAAAGTAAAGATTGATGCAAATTATACTAGGGAGGATGCTTCAAATATTTTAGATCATTAATTTAATAAATTATAGAAAGAGATGTTAATAATATATGGGTAAATGACATAAATAATAAATAATCATATGTCTTTTATAAATTTTTAATGACTAAGATTTCTCAAAAATATATAAAAATACGGATACATAATAGGGCTGATATAATAAAAAGGTGGAGGATACATTATATATTTTTTGTCACATTTTTGTATTCATATCATTTTTTGTAACATTTTTGTATCCGCCTTATTTTTTATTACATTTTTATATCCGCCTCATTTTTTGTCACATTTTTGTATCCGCCTCGTTTTTTAAATTTTTATATCCGTCTCATTTTTTGTCACATTTTTGTATCTGCGTATCCGTCTGATTTTAAGCACATTTTTATATCCGCCTCATTTTTTGTCACATTTTTATATTCGCCTCTATTTTTGCCATATTTTTATATCCACCTCATTTAACTTAAAAATGAGAGATTTTAAATATTTTTAAAATTAATAAAAGATAAGAATAATAAGTGAACTTAAGAAGAGGATTTTTGTCAAGTTTCCATAGTATATATCGTATTTAAATTTTATGATGAAATAGAAGCTTTTTCAATTTTACTATTGATCCCTTTTTTTGATATCTTATCAGATATTGTTACTTTTTGATTTCGTAAACTTACTTCTTAACATACTTTTATAATTAAAAGTTTATCAAAAATAACTTTTATTCCCTTAAAAGATAAATAAAATATATTTATATTTCATCCTATTTATTTATGAAAAAATTCCACAATTTCTTTTATTTGAAATTCATAATTTACTCCAGTTTAAATTTATCAAGGATTTCAAAGTGATAAACAACTATACGAGGAAATAAGTAAAAGAAGGAAGGAAAAAGACCATTCAATTAGTGTTTAGTCCTTGTATATACAACTAACTAATGTTTTATTTCTAAAGATAAATATTTTTTCAATTATATATCTAAATATATAACTTGATTTTAATTAATATTTATATTTTAAATATATATAAATAATCATATAAAATTAAATAAAGTATATTATGTCAGGTATAGAGTATACATATGTGTAAGGAGCAGTGGATTATGGCAGGATTTGAGTTTGTAAAGCTGGCGGTACTCTTCTCTATCCATTCAAAGCTCTTTGTTTAACATAACGTGTCACTCTCTAAGCACTAAAGGTGGCAAAAATCCACACTGTTATAGCGACCCCACTCTGAAAAAGAGCTTTCCTCAGACACTCCGTCTTCCAGCTTCCGCATTCCACTTTGTCAATTCTCCCATCACTCACAGTAAACTCTCTTTATCTTTCATCTTCATCTTCCTCCCCCCCCCCCCCAATACCCTTCTTTCTTTTCTCTGTTTACAACTCTTCTAGTGAACTAAAGCTCTTGTTTAACTATAGTTGTGATTTTTAAAACTTGAAGTTGTATTTGGACATGTAGTTTTCTTGAAAAAATTTGAACTTTTGTTAGTGGGGAAGATAAATTTGATTTTTTTATTGATTAAGGCCAAAAGCTAGTTCTGTGGTTCTTTCTTTGTTGCATTCAGATATTGATGTTTGTTTGTATTTGTTTATCAATTTTTGGCTTGATAAATTGTCTCTATTCAGTCTCTGTTCTTTGTTTCCACTTTATGTTGAGTTAACAATTTATAGATTTATGCACAACTTGGTTTTATAGGACAACTAGTTGTTTATAGCAATTTGCTGGCTCTGTGTAAGACTGTTGTTATCATTTTGTCAATTATAAGGCTGAAATTTAAGATGTTGAAGAAAAAAGGGTGTGATTTTAGCCTTTTGGGATGTCTCAAAATGTTAAAAAAACCATGAAAGTTCTTTTTTTAAACTGTTTAGACTTATACCGAGAATGTTCTAAATTTGTCATATTTATCTGGTACTCTTATTGAAAACTGTGATTTGATCATTCTGTGAATAAACTTCTGTACTGAGATTTTTAGGACTTGAACATTTTATGCAGATGGCGTACATATGACCACTTTTGGAAGTATAGATGGCAGAGTTACTTCAATTGGTCAACACTGTTATGATCTTGCTGATCAAGCCTTTGTCACTTGTCAAATTCACTTGCTTCTTCGGTGTGAGAACAATTTGCATTGTTATCCAAACATGGACAGAACTGCTGAGAGCTGCTATGGGTTTTCATGCCAGATTACTCTGGAAACTGACAATTTGGGCTATTGCTGTTCTATCCCTGCCTATACGAAGTTTAACTGCTCTACAAAGGGAAAGGGCGGTGAGAGTTATTTTTGAGAAGTGTATTGTGTGTGTCCTTTTTAATGCTTTAGTTTTTAAGATGTTTTTTCCACATGCCTTATATGTAGTGTTAATTTTTTGTTTATTTTAGTGCTTCATGAACCAGAATTATGGAAACTAATAAGTGAATCATCTGAATGGATAGCACACTCAATTTTGTTAGACCAGTACATAAGGTGGTCAAATTCCCCATCTTACATTTTGTGCAGCACTCGTTTGAATATCCATGTTTTAAATGTTAACTATAGTCTATAATAGCTATGTGTCTTAAGCTCGGAGTAAGGAGGAGGATTGTGGTAGTTGACAATCAACTTAAAACTAGCCTAACTAGTGTGAAGTTTTCCGATATCTAATATTTGGCATACAATAGAACCTGGATAGACCAGAATGAAAAAAATAGGATTCACGTAGACTCATACTAGATTGATATCAATGCTTGTAAAATTTGTGAAATCTGGAGTAATCTGGAATTGTGTTTTGGTATTACTACTGAAGGGAAAACAAAGTTGAAAGAAGATGAGTGGAGCTGGATAAGGTAATTTAACGAGTTTCTATCTTCTCTTTTCTTGTACACCTTGTGTGAGTGTGGCGGGGGTTTGGGGGACCAGAACATTTTCTATTGTATGAGGTTTACTTGTCCTTTTTACAACTTTCACCTGTATAACTTGAATATAATCTTGGTAGACTTCACAGGTAGCTCTATTTCCAAATGCCGTTCAGTTTTGTGGAATAATTTCTTCAGAGAAAAAAATGATTGGTAACTTCATTATCATTATGGTACTACCTGATCTAATCCCATAAACAGAAAATTTCAATGCCACATTAACTTTGAAATCTCCAGTGTTAGTAGTCAGGAGTTACTAATCTGTTCCTCGTTAAAGATCTCCTGCAATTCATATTGGATGCAAGGACTCTGTGTGTGTGTGTGTGTATATATATAGTCTCTGTGTGTGTTTCGTTTAGTGGCACAGATGTCTATTTAGTTATGTCTTTAATTGAGTTTTGAGTTAGTATTTTTTGGCTGACTAAAAGCAACTGACTTGATATAGCCTCTACTCTTCATTTTGAGGAGTTGGTAGTATTTGGCTGACTTAGAGCGACTGACTTGAAGCCTCTACTCTTCATTTTGAGGATTTGGTATTATTTTGCAGACTTAAGCAACTGACTTGAGAACAATAATGTGCAGCTGGAGATGCATCTGCAGGAAATGCAGATCGAGTTTGAAAATCTTGTTTGGGAAAGGAAGCAACTTGAGAAGAAAATACTAGTAGCCATCAAGGATAAAAAGATAATGCAGGCCATGTTAGCAGAACTCGAGGATGAACATGACGATGCCATCGTCAAAATTGAGCAATTGGAGGACCAGGTGAAATATTATCTTTCTCTACTGATAAAATCTCTGTTTGTATACTACAATACTAGTACATGCACTTGAGATTTATAGAAGCTACCATTCTACCACTCGCTTGCTCCATTATATCAGCTAGTGTCTAAGTTTTGTAGCATCATTGTTCTGCTAACTTCTTCTGAGCAACAAAGAAGCAAAGCATATTAAGGAGAATATAAATCTGAAGTGTTGAAGGAATACATACATTCAGAACTATTTGACTTGAAGAAAAAGTAACCCTGTTAGGATGGGTCAGAAAGTTGATCATTTACTTGATTTCCTGGATTTTGGGACTGTAATATCAAAGTTCTCCATTATTGTTTCGTCAGTGTCACATATTGTTTTAGCTTAGTAAGGAGAGGAGCTGATTAATAGACAAAGGGTTTATCTGATCAGTTGTTTAGGACAAGATGCCATAGTTAAGGCCCTTTTTGCAATGATTATCCTGCCTTTTTCTTATACAGGAGAGCAGCTATATCCGGATCTGTGTGTTTCAGGGCATTGGATGGTTAATATATATATATATATATATATATATAGATATATAAGAATTAAGAATGAGAATAAGAGCATTGTGATTATGGTGATACGGCTTATAGACTATATAAACTTTTTTTATGTAGTAGAAAGTAACTTCTTACTGCTAATTGTCGAGTCAATGAAACATAGCCTAGAGTTACTGCTTGAATATCTGTCCCATTTGTTATGTGTATGAGTTGAGATTTGGTTTCTTAAGTTTTCAGCTGGATAACGTTTTTCCGTTCAGACATGTATTTCTTGCTACTTCGAAAAAAATGGATCTTATTGAGAGAGATATTGAGGTAAACTAGTCACAGAAAGCGGTAGCTTCGATTTGTTATAATGGTCCTGTAAGTTCCAATTTTTCATCTGCTCATGATACGGAAAATCTTGAGACGGGAAAGCCTGAACTTTGTATTTGGTGTGATATAGCTTAAGAATCTGAAGGTGGAAAATCAACGATTGAATGAAGTTCATGGTAAAGCACTTTCAGACCTTGAAGACCATTTTGATGGCCCAGTAATGCAAGGCTGTAGCGATGCTGTTCCATTTTGGAGATCAAGTGGCATTGAGAGCGTGGCCATACACAAGGAAGGAATGCAAGAAGATAACAGCAAAAACGGAAGTACGAGCTCTGAATTTGTGGAAGCCAGATCCTGTCGAGATGTCAACAGGCCACGTACTCAGACTACGTTTGAGTATTTTGACACAAATGATGTGCTACAACAACGAAGGGATCTAGCTGTTTACCAGACCCTTTTTAGTGCAATATTATCGCTCTTAGTTGGAACGATCATATGGAAAGCTGAAGATGCATGCATGCCTCTAGTCCTCGCGCTATTTGCTGTCGTTGTCATGTCGTTGTGGAGTGTGGTCCAGTTCTTCTCGACTATTAGGAACAGACCTGCGTCTGATGCAGTTGCTCTGTTGAGCTTCAATTGGTTTTTGCTCGGAACACTGACATATCCTACGTTGCCAAGGATCACCCCTGTATTTGCACCAGTGTTATGGACTCTCTCAGACAGGGCTGTGGAGCTGCTAGGTTTCTGAATCTTTTGAGTTTTTTTGCTTTTCGCAGTCTGACACATACTACACACTGTTTCTGGTCCTGTTGATGCGTGTAAACTAAAAGTTTATCAAATGTTTGTTCTTTTTGGGGTTTTGTCTTGTAAATTTCTCCTGAAGGAGATAGGTTTTGCTTAAACAGTTGTGTTATTGATGTCATGGATGATAAGTAAATGTATAATATCCGTCTTTATTAGTTCTCCAGCTTGGTGACACCATTACCTTTTAAGTTAATGCAGGTCAAAAACATGTCTGAAATATCTTTTTTGCGAGTGTTATTATCTTAATTATCCATATGCAGACAAAAGAAGTAGCTGCAATAATATACTTTCGAGTAGCTAACATCCCACATAACACAATAGACTAGGTAGATTTCTAATATATATATTGATGGCTTCTTGGAAATCTCAAACTTCCAGCAAAAAGAAAGTTACTCTCAAATCAACTATTCTACAGCAAAGATCCCTCAGCTTGCATCTACATGAAAGCATAAGTTCAGTCGGTACAGCATACAAGAGAAAAATTAAAGAGAACATAAAATAGATGTTGACCAAAGACGTCAATGAAATTACAGAGAATGAGGCAAACATGGAAAGACTTTTGAGTTGCATGTTATACTCTATCAAATGCCATTCTTTGAGTTATATGATTTAGAGAACCATCAACTAGCAGATAAAGCAGCAACTAGAAGACTCATGCTATGGTAATTGAACAGAAATCTAAATTCTGTGTATGATGGTGATATCGCAACAATGTTTTGAGCAACAGGACTCCTTTCCCACCGCAAAAGGAAGAGAACTTTATAGTTCTGCTTTAATTTTGGGTGTACAACATTAGAAGTTTTGAGTTGTGTTCAATTCGGATGCTAAACACTGACATCGGAGAGAATAAAAAGTACCAAATACTTTGGTCCAAGACTAAGTTCAATCACTCGTCCTTGCCAATGCAAAACCAACGCTAGAACTCAATGTTATCCACCTCACAATCCTATCTAGCACAAGGAACAGGAGCACGAGCAGCATCTTAAACCGCCAATACAAAGACCCATGTATGCATACCACATGACAGAGGTACCAATACTGGTCTCATGCCATCACAAATGTCATCAACATCAATTAGTCTATGACGAATTATACCCACTGATTCTGTTCCGTTAAGGGTCAACTATAAGCTAGAAAAAAATGTTAGAAGTGACCTACCAAAAGCAACAAATCTATAGCTATAAAACCATATAGAGGACCCAGACACATGATTGATTTGAACATTGGGGTCTAATCCTCCGGCTCATCGAGTCCCTCAATCATATTTCTTGAGTTTAGCTATTTTGCTTTGGAGTTCATTTTCCCCACAAGCATTTAGGACCACTGGACCGCAAGCAGGTCAGAAGCTCATTGGGCATGGTTATCAAAATAAAAGAAGATATCCCACATTTTAAAATGGTCTAGAAGACTCTGTATAGCAGAATAGGTCAGATACATATGTTTAACAAGCAAGTCATCTGTATCCACTTCTAGCATTCAATTATCAAGAATTAAATAATGGAAGAAATGAATGCCACAGAACAGAAGAATCAGTGATTACCAGCATCGCAACGCTGTTTGTCAAACCAGCTTTTTGTAGACATCAAGGCATTCACTAAATCTGACTCCACTGATCTAATATTTCTATCAGGTTCATTCACATCAATGAGATAAGCATCATAGCCTGTAACAAGAGACAATTGTATTAAAAGTTCACGAGCTAATTTTGATAGTGCAGGATATTTGGGGCTGGCAGATTTCCACCAACTCAATACATCAAAGTTCTTGGTCCAAGGCACAATAGGTTCTTCCAGATAGCAGTCAAGTTCTGATTTTGGTGGCTGACTAGTTGTTTGGATGAATTTGCTGAACTCATCTAAACAGTCAAATCCAAAACTATCATCATCAAGAATTTCCATCTGTTCAAAGAGATCTTCACCCGTATCAAAATCTTCAGAACCTGAATCACTGATAGTATACTCCATTGAGGACTTGTGCACCACATAGTCATGGTGAAGGCTTCGGATGGACTCCAAGATAGACAGCAGCGGTGAATGATCATTTTCTTTATACTTCAAGAAACAGAACTCTAAGTACTTCACTTTGTAGCGTGGATCCATAATAGTAGCTAGAGCGAACACCAAATACATGATTCCTCCAATACTTGTCAAACTTTTCCAACATACTATTGGCTAAATTTCTAGTAAATTTATCTGAACTTGCAGAATCTTTCAGCAGATTAAATCGAAGATTATTAAGATTGTGGAAGTAGAGGCCTGCAGTGGGACGTTTTGCCATAAATAACACTTCTGCTGCAGTATAGACATGTCCTACAAGTTTACTTACTCCCCTAACTTTCTCCCACTCTCGGGGAGAAGGTATATGATAACCCTTATAATCATCTGTTTTCAAGTATTCTCCTTTAGCCTCCAACTCCAATGCTTCCTGTAGTTTATGAAATGTCACATTCCACACTGGTAGTGATCTGCCCCAACATACTATGTGACGAATGTCACTGATTAAACCCTCTATCATCCCAAATGCTCTTTTCACCATCGAATTGAAAATGTCTGCACAACAAGGTACACGAAACAATTGTCCGTCTGGATGGAGTCTTTTCTTCTCAAGAAGTTTGCTTTTAATGACATCAATAACCTCATCAAAGTCCAGATAGCTATGCACAGTGACAGCACATATCTTATCTTCAATACCAGAATCTGAAAGACATTGCATTGTCTCACCAACATAATGTCATATGCATCAAAAGACTTAAAGCTAATAACCCAACTTCTTAGCTTCCAGTCTTCGCTAATAAAATGAACTCTTATGCAAATGAAATCAAAACATGTTTCCTCACAATCTGAGGTAGGCCAGTAGCCAGGGTCATTGAATTTGTTATAAGTTTGCCTCTCAACTGAGAGGCTAACTCGTCCATTCAAGCTTCTCAAAATTTCTTTGACTTTTGCTTTCTCTTCCTCGTACATTCCAAGCAATACCGTGAAAGAATGGCAGATGAAGGACAAAATTTTGGATTAAGATAGGCAGTTAATTTTTTGAAGTGAGCGGCTTCTACTGACTTTGGAGATGTACCGGATTGACAGAAAAACGTTGCCATCGTACGATAAGCTGTTTCTTCATTGACAAAATGCTCCTTCCCTAAGTTACTTCTGTCCACGTTCCTCGGATTTGCATTTCTTGGTTCACAGTCATGATTTTTCCCTTTTGTTGGTATATGTGGAAAACAAAATAAAGAACCACTTAAGCCAATTTGGTTGGAGGGATTATGAAAAACTAATGCCAACACAAAGTTCTATATAAAATAATAGTGTTTGATTTGACGATTAGGAAAATAGTCTCTGAATAACTAATGCAGCTTTTGGTAGGGTGTATAAGAAGAAAAGCAATCCCTATGTTATAATTCACCAAACAATAACCATTACTATTCTCATTCACACACCAAAACTAAATCTTGGATTACTTTTCATTGCATAACTAGTATGTGAACCAAATGACCTGCTAATGTGTAGTAACAGTGGAAGACAAATAAAACAAGTAAAAGAGAAGAAGAATGGAACCAGATCTAGGAAAGAAGTCACAGAGTGTTTTCCGCTTTGCCTCGCTCATTTCCGGTTCATAAACTGCACCTGAGATGAATCACAGATAAGAAGGTTGAAGCATATAATATGATGTCAAATTTTCAGATGTAGAAACAACATCAAAATTTGTTCTTTTCTTCAATTTTCTTCTTTCAGACACTTCTGCTGTGGGATTTTATCCAAAGATCAAATATGTTTGCATGAGCAGGTAAGGTCTGAGCATACAACACACCACTGGTGGGATCACATTAGGCACTAGCTAGGCATGTTGTTGATTGTTTGTTTGACTGTGGCATGAGCATTTTCTAGTATAAATATCGGATTTCCGATATAGATTTGACATGGATATATTCAGTTTTTGAGTGTATGTTTGAAAATATTTATTCGAAGCTAGTTGGGCTTGGCTATATAAATCCTCTGTATCCATCAATCAGTTTAGAGGATTCATCATTGTTTAATTATTCAACCTAACCACAACAACTCTTATTTATTCATCTTAGACCAGCTACACTTTGCAAAGTTAACCTCAGCTAGCAGAGTAATATGCTAATATCAGCTAAAAGCTTCAAAGTTAAGGAAAATAGACGCACAAAAATTACAATCAGATGGGTTTAGCTCAAGAAAAAAACAAGTAACCCTTGCTTAGTATTTTCTTTTCTTGATTTCTTCACTTCAATTATTTTCTTGATCCGAGGTCTATCTTAAATAAACTCTTTATCCAGGTAAAGTCTCAAGCTACACAATCCTCCCCAGCCCCCCTAATAAAATTACACCGAACATGTTGTTGTTTGTACCAAACACACCCCAAGTATTATTTCATTTTATGTGTGTGAAGGAAAACACACCCTAAGCAAAAACTAGTATGGTGCACTAAAGCTCCCGTGCTATATGTAGGGTTTAGGAAATGGCCAAACGATAGGATATATTATAAGAAACTGTTTTCACAACTTGAATCTGTATATCTGTCGCATTCACGTGATGGCCCAGGAAAAAATATTACTAAAATCCTAAATTTACCCCTTTTAAGCGTAGACGGTAGAACCATAAGAAAACAGTATAAAAAGAGAGCAACAATTTATACAACTATCATAGACAAACGATGATTTTAATAGAAGAGATGAGTAAAAGATTGCAACCTTTTTTAAATATGGAGAAAGAGAGCTTTGTAGCAAGAAGTTGTGCAATGACTTTGAAGATTTAATATTACAAAATAATGTGTGTGACAGGTCCAGTTTTGCCCGGGAAAATATGACATAGCTGGGCCCCAATTAAAAAAAAGAAAAAAAATACATTTTATGCACATAGGTATAAAATTAGGGAAAATACATATAATAGACCTTAAACAAATTAGAAAAAATTACTCGAATACACTATTTATTTTACCATATTCCTTGAAATTTTCTACTATTTTAAAAAATTATAATTTTTTTTGTTTTTCTCACACTCTTTTCTATTCTTAGATAATGTATCATGATGCGATTTATTGAGATGTGATATCAGGATAGGTGTATTTTGTATCAATAAAGGTAATGTATCTAAACGAGTGTATCAACAAAGGTAATGTATCTAAACGAGTGTGTTTTGTATCAACAAAGATAATGTATCGAGACAAGTGTGTTTGTATCGATAAAAATAATGTATCAAAACATTGAGTGATGTATTTAAAATCCTTAAGGTTTAAGAAATTTTCTTTAATTGGAGAAGGATTGACTTAGAATGTAATTAACTCTTTAACACTACGAAATTTGTATAATTTTCACTAAAAATAAACTAACTACTGATTTTATTTTATTTTACATTAAAGACCCATTGAGCCACTTCATTGGGGAAAAAAATTTGGAAAAATTATTTGGAGGAGTGTCTTTTAACAAATACTTACGGATTTTAGCGATATTTTTTTATTTATTACCGTCTATAGTAATATTATGTTAAATTTGTAATATGTATTAAAAGTGAATTAAGTATGCAATAATATGTATTATAATTGTTTTTAAAAAATATATTATGTTTATTTAGTAAGAAGTTGACACATTGTATTATATATGTATTAAAATGTGTGATATCCATCAATAAAACTTATATTATCTGTGAATAATAATTTGTCCTTTGTAATATAAATTAAAAATGTATTATATATGTATTAAAAATGATCAATTGAAAAAAAAAAATATTATTGCTATAAGCGATATATAGAACGTTTTCACTCCAATAAAATTTGTTCACAAATAGGATCAGCCCATATAGCCAAAAACTGAAGTATCAGATTAAAGTTTGTAATAGAAAATTTTGACTTAAGGTCTCCTGCAAATGCTTCCAGTTTGGAAAGCTTTAATGTGATTTTGTCTATTTATCAACTTGAATAGAAGAGAAAATCAATTTTCCGCTAAAATTTTAGGTACTGAATATGAAAAATATGGGTTAACACTGACCTGACCCATAAAAGTGGATTAATATAATCCCAATACACCTAATTTTCAAATGAAACATACAAAAGCTTCATAAGAACCAAGCATGCATCCACAACATTTGATAAGCCACAAATTCGAACAGTATATCAAAAAACTACTTTTTTAAGATAACATTTCTAGTGCTTTGACATAATCACTTCTGTCATGTCAAGCAAACTCTTTGTAAGTAATCACAAATTTCTTTAGCAAGTCCTGATAAATATGGGGAGACACAGCCTGCTGATATAATCCCAACAAAAGATAATGTTATCAAAAACTTAACCATGTTTACCATTTTAAGAAAAAACAATGTATGAAAGGCAAGTTTCTAAAATGGAAAAAGGTCAAAAACCCGCTTTAACTATCTGAAATACCTCATATTTACCCTTGAACTATATTTCAGCTCAAAACTATCATTTTCGTCAAACTATTGAATTAAAAGTGCCCTAATTATTTATGAAAGTTGTTAAATGTCATGTGGATGTCACTGCCACATAGACGGTACAGAAAATGATCAAAAATACCCTTAAACTATCTAAAATACCTCATATTTATCCTTAAACTATATATTGGCTCAAAACTACCATTCTCGTCAAACTATTGAATCAAAAGTACCCTTCTTATCAACGGAAGTTGTTAAGGCCTCATTTGTTTACATTAAGATTAAAGGGTCTGAATCTGAATACACATTTGAACATTAATATTTGCATTAAGATTTGGGTGTTTTGATCTGAATATTAAAATGTGGTCTCTTAATCTATACTCTAAATAATTAATGTTTTTTGTTTTCAATATATGAATGTGCAAGTGAAATTGAACATTATATTAATAAAATATTAGAAATTTTTCATTCAACAAAATATATCACTTTTGATTAAAAAAAAAGGTTTTAAAATTTTTAATAATCATGATTTGGAGCACTATTTTTTCATTAAAGAACCTTGATAAGCAACAATGCACCAAAAATATTATTGCAACCAATATTCTTGACACGCGTCAATACAAGAAAATTATTAATATAAAAAAAATACTTGGAAGGATTTATGAAAACTTACTAGTTCAAGAAGGAAAAATGGTGTTTGATTGAGAAAAGAGAGAAAGAAAGTTTTTAGTTATAAGATAAAAAGGCACGCCCAAAGCAGAAAAGCGATGATTCATTATTTCGATAATTTATAAAATTAGTTTGAATGTTGTTAAGAGTCTCCTACAAATCTGATTCGTTTAGACCTCTTCAGACCAATTAAGAGATCTTTTAAAAAATAAAACAAATGGACTTAATGGGCTGAATCTGAATTCAGACCTTAAAAACAGACTTACTTAATGAGCTGAATCTGAATAATTAAGATTTAAACCTACATTAAGTGCAAACAAACGACACCTAAATGTCATGTGGATGTCACATTGCATGCCAATAGGGTTCAACTGCCACATAGATCCTTTTCCTTTTAGTATATATGACAATGGAACACTATTGACTGATATTCATGTGACAATTCGTAAGTGAGATTTTCATCATATCTATGCAATACAATATCTTCCACTTTTCTTTCCGAAACAAAACTAATATCCATCTGCTAATTTCCAAGTAATAGTTAGATGGACTTGTATAGTATTCATATGAATCGAGATGAAATTTCCAATTTTGGAACAAGTACAACGAGCTAAAACGTGATCCACAAACGATATGAGTTTTGTTGCTGTTTTATAATCGAAGTTAGAGAAAATGAAGCTATAAATTGAAACCAGAGATAACGCCACTTTTTTTTTAATAGAAGAGACGATGTAATTACATCTTTGGTTAGCAATATATACAATACATATGCATAATATACAATTATCTAACCAATATACATATACAATTCACCTTTCTCCCACTCTTTCCCCCCCCCCCCCTCTCTCTCTCTCCTCTCTCCTCTCTCTCCCAGTCAGGCTCGCCTCTCTTCTCCATATAACATGTAGCTACAAATTATAATTATCAAACTATAGCTATGGAGAGTAATTAACTATTTTTAAGTGGCTATATGTGAAAGTTTCCCTTTATTTAATTTTATATTAGATAATCAATAATAGTGTAAAATACACAAATCATGTATTAGTATTGACATTGCTTAAAGTGCATTAAGCATGTTGTAGTCCTGAAATCCAAATATTCATTTACTTTGGAATTAAAAATATTTTCATCTTGTTATCACATAAATTTATTTTATATTGAAAATTTATAAAAAAAATTATGATATAATAATACTAAATGAAGCATGTTTAACATTTTCATCTAAAAAAAAAGTAAAATATCTTCTCTATATTGAATTCTAAAGTAAAGTACTATTTATTCATGAAAATATGAGTAAACTAATATTTTATCAGACCCACTTTTATTCATATCAAATATGGACGGATTAATTGATTACTCATTTTATATTTATCCATTTTCAATCCGCCCACATTTGACGTAACCCCCCTCCCCCACATTTGCCACCTCTAGTCACTACTAAAGCCCCATATTTAGTATGAAACCGATAGTTTCAAAGGAGAAAAGGTTTTGGGCCTTGTTTTCTTTGGGTCACTTGATTTGGTTTGTCTTACTTTTCGGGTGAGATAAATTCAACAACTTACTTGAATCACACTAGTTTAGAAGTTAATTAATTATACATATTCTATTTTATAATATTATGTATTTTATTAGATTTTGATGCCTCCACTTACATGTAACTCAGATATATAGGGTCAAATTTAGGTGTTATGTAATCTAAATACATTGTATCAAAGTAGATTCACATGTATCTGGGTACCTAGCAATTCTCGCTCACCTCTTTTCCATGTATCAAATATCTAAGATACATGTGAATCATGTATCTACTATAATTTTTATATATCTAGGATACATACAAATTTCGCCTATATCTCTCCCTATTTTGTGTATCTAATGTTGAAGTTGATAAGAGATAAGATTATGAAGGAGTTAGTTATAGTTAGTTAGCTTTCCGTTATAGTTAACAACCTTGTTTAGTTAGTTAATTTTCTGTTAAGTGTTAGTTATTTTTCCTTCAATCTTCAATTGTATAAGTATGACTACTACATGTAGTTCATCACACTTTTTTTCTTCTCTTTCAATCTGAGAAATGGTTCTCTCCATCCTCAGCTTTACATTCAGTTGCAGCCACCATTAATGGAGGTTTATCACAATTTTAAGCTTCAACATGGTATCAGAGCACTCGTTCGATCACTTTCGCTTGTTTTCGTCTCTGTTCAAGCTGTGAAGATCTCGAACCTCTCTGTTTGTCTTCCATCTCTGTTCCTCTTGTGAAGATTGAATCTATCGAGTTTACTTGTGTTCATTCTGTTTTTCTGCTGTTTTCTGTTGCATTCTTACACATTTTCATCCCTTCTTTTGATTGATTTTTGTTGCACTACAATGGTAGAAGTAACTAATCTGGAAGTAACTAAGGGAATTGAGATAGGAAGTGTGCTGTATCTGCATCCATCAGAAAATCCAGGTGCACCTCTTGTACCAGTTGTTTTCGATGGAATTGGTTATCGAACCTGGAAGAGAGGCATGAGCAGGTCTTTATCAGTTAAAAATAAATTGGGGTTCATTAATGAAGATTCTAAGAAACCACTTCCTACAGATCCAAACTACAAACAATGGGAGAGGTGTGATAATATGGTTACGTCTTGGATTTTAAACTCATTAAGTCGAGATATCGCTGATAGTGTAGCATATGTTGATAGTGCCTTGGAATTATGGACTGATTTGGAGGATCGTTATGATCAAACCAATGGTGCCAAGTTATATCAAATTCAAAAGGAAATCAATGATCTCATTCAAGGAGTTATGGA